CCCTCAAATATTATCTGAGAGGAAGATATGGAGGTTCACTAGACTCTATACTTCTACATCACACCTCTACATCACACCATCTGCTCTTTTGGGAGCCTTGGACAGAAAAGGTGAGGTCAGTGTGCCGTGAACTAGAAGACTCCTTCCCATGTAAAGGAGACTGGGATTTTTACACAGGAAGACTGCTGTCCTTTTATGGTTCAATGTGAAATGTCTCCTGAACTATCTGTTGGCAGCCACCCAGCATTACAGATTTTTTGTGGAAGTAGACACAAATCTCTCAATTTATTGAGCAAGAACCTTTGGCTAGTCAAGCTGACAGGAGACCTGTAACGTTTTTCATAGCAACAGAGCAGTAACAAGGTGAGGTCTGAGTCACAGAGGAAGTCTTAGAGCAGGCAGTAATCTAGTTACAGGAAATTCATAATTCAAGCCAAAAACGGAACTTGTAACAAGATCGATATGCTGAACCAATGAACTCTTGAACTTCTTGTCTTCCCTTTAGAATGTGTTTAAACAGAGAGTTTGGCTGAGCTTGACCTTACAATGGGGATTAAATGGCTCAGTGGTGAGGACTGGAAAAAATATAAATTGATGCATTACTCTGATGGAAGGGTCCTTAACTTGGTTTTTAACTGTGGAACCTTTGACATTTACATATGTTTAGATTAAAAATTGTTTTTTAATTTATTTATTTTATTTTATGTGTGTGTTTTGCCTGCATATATGTAAGTGCATACATGCATGCAATGCCCACATGAGCCAAAGATCCCCTGGAACTGGAATTACAGGCAGTTGTTAGCCACCATGTGGGTGCTGGGAATGGAGCCCCAGCCCTCTGCAAGAGCACTCAGTGCTCTTAACAGTAGAATCATCTCTCTGGCCCTCATGCTTAGGTTTTTAAGAAATTTAAGATAATACATACAGGACTGCAAAGGAGAATAATGTATTGAAATATAGTTACTTAAATAGAAATTTAATACAGTACTATTTGGGTCTATCAAGTAATATATCAAATAAATTCTACCAATGGATCTAATAGCTTTTAATTTCAAAATAGTGATGAATAAACATGACATTCTGAGATCTCTGTGGCAACTTCAGCGTGGTGTTAAAATGCCTATGGTTTTTATTGACAGTAAAGTCACAAGTCCTACTAATACAACTAAGGAATACTACCCATACCCATCCTAGAAGAAGAAATGCTAACTCCTACTTGGATAATAGTGGGACAAAAGGGTAAAGGGTATTGTTTTATTTATTTTCCCATGTAAGTTTCTAGCTTTCCTTCATTCCACCCACGAATCCCCTGAGGTCTAGTGTGGTAGGATAGACCTCCCTACTCTGGCTTAAGTCACTGAGGGGGTGGGAAGTTGAGCTTCTGGTTTGCTATATTTTATTGTGCAGGACCATAGCTGAGAGCAGGGAAGAACTAGCTGGTGTGCTCTGTGTCACTTCCCTAGCAGGGAGACACCAAGAGCTGGAAAGAGAGGTGTAGATAGATGTCAAAGTTGGCTCCCTGGACCAAAGATGTGGCCTGATAACTTGTTTAGTGGTGGGAATGACACCTTTTGCTTTTCAGTCTTTTAAGACTCAAGGATTTTCGGCCTGTAAAGATACACAAGTCAGAACTTTCTGTATGGACCATACCCTAATCCTTCCTGAGAGGAGAGGAGAGAGTGGACAAGGTGCAAAGATCTGGGGTCAGGGCACAGACACAAGGCCAGGGAAACAACTGAGTGGACCTCAGAAAGGTTGGAAACAGCTGAAATTACAGTTCTGCCCAAGCATGTTTTCTACTGTGAAGCAAATGATTTAGATACTCCCTCTGTCCCCAATATTCCTAGAGTGATTTTATAACATTTCTCCTGATTCATGTTCCTACTTTTTCTTAGCGGTTCTGTTTCTTCTATTTGAAACTGTCTCTGCTGCTTGCCTAAGAAAGCCCAGTTTGGAAATGAAAGGCTTTAGCCTGGTGTAGTGGTAACACACCTTTACTCCCAGCACTTGGGAGGCAGGAAATCGTGAGTTTGAGGCCAGCCTGGTGAGTTCCAGCCAGCCAGGGATATACTGTGAAACTCTGTCTAAAAAAGAAAACAAGAAAGAAGGAAGAAAGAAGGAAAGAAAAGAAAGAAAGAGAGGCGACACAATGAAAACTAATTTTGAAGCAGAGACTAAGGGCCTATGACTCTAAAGCCAAGCCAGGCTCCCGAGTTTTTCAGCTGCTGCTTCATCAGTCCCCTGAGGATGGACAGCGTGTAGCCTCCAGCTCTGAGATCATCATAATCTGATGGCCCCAGGCAAGGTTGTCCAAGAACAGTTGTCAAAGGACAGTTGTGGGGCCACTGAGCCCTGCTGCTGATGTGACAGGTCATTAGATATGTATATCTAAAATATTTGATGGTTTCGTATATTCACATTTTTCATTTGGTTTCTGATCCCAGGGAGGGATGTTTTTGATTTATAGTTCAATTTAAGATGATAACTGAAAAAGGCTGAAAATGAAAGCCGACTCCTTTGCATTGGCATTAAATGAAAATGCTTTCCTCTCTTGAGAAATGCAGGCTGCGGAGATGCACAGCCAAGACTCCAGCATGTCTGCAAATTCTTCAAGACTTCTTGTTTGAAGACGTGCTGGTTTCCTTCTGCTTGGACGAGGGCTGGCTTAATGACTGACTTCTATAAATGAAGTGGTTCTTACCTGGTCGAAGGATGGACTTCAAATGTATTTTTTACCTTTTTTTTTTTTTCAATTTTCTACCAAGAGTCTAAAATGTCAAGATTCTTGGGGGGTGTCTGGAGAGATGGCTCAGTGGTTAATTCTATTCCAGCAGAGGACCCAAATTTGGTTCCAAGCTCCCAAATCAGGTGACCAATAACTGCCAAAAGCTACAGTTTCACGGTTCCCAATGCCCTCTTCTGTTCTCCATGGGAACCTATGTGTATATACACACATGGACACATACACATAAATAAAAGTGAAAAGAGTCTTAAAAAAGGTTCTTAAAGGGGTTAATGGTTTACCCTCAAAGTTTGGAACTATCGTTTTAGAATTTGTCCTATAATTCTGCTTTGCTGTGCTGGCTCTTGCTGGACTGGGAGTGACCTTGGGGCTGTTAACTATTTCTGGCTGCCACCATCAATTTCTACAGCTCTTACACAAGGAGCTTCTTGCATGCTCTAAGAGATATGAAAGTCCAGGGGACAAAGTGAAGGCATTTATCTGGACAGAAGCCCTGCTGGGTGGTGTTAAGAGCAGGTATAGAAGAAAACACCTGCAGCTTCCCATGTGAGGACAGCTTCAAAGGCAGGCACTTGCCGAAGCTCGTGACTCATTGTGGGCTAGGGTTCTTTTTTGCCTAAGATCAGATGACATCTCTGATGTTCTTGACCTTGCAATTGCCACAAACTTGTCAAGCCTCCAGGTTCCATGGGGCTTGGTGCACACCCTACTCCTGCCCTTTTAGCAGGGGTTTCTTTGGATAAACGGCTTCATAACTCAAGTTGCTTTCAGGGAAAGACTGAGAGAGAAAAAGAGAGAACTGATCATGCCGGATGTAGATGCGAGTGAGATGTAGCCGGAACTCTCACACGCTGCTGGTGGAGATGTGAAACGATGCAGTCACTTTGAAAAGCATTTTTGGAAGTTTCTTAGATTAAACATGCTCTTATCATATGATCCATCAATTCTACTCCAACAGAAATAAAAATATATGTACATGAAAGCTGTATGTAAGTGTTTCTAGAAACTTTGTTCCTAATCACTTCAAAATGCAAACCCAACTGTTTTTCAATTTATGAATTGTTTATATACAGAAGAGCTTGCTGTGAGAGTCAGACTGAAGGGCTACTTACATAAAAGTTTAAATTATAGAGACAGAGCAGGCACTGGCTGGTAGGTGGGGAGAGAGAGAGAAAGATTTTTTCAGAAGCAAGGAATTATTCTACATCCAGATTGTGGTGGTGGTTTTATGCCTAGGCATTTGTCAAAACTCAGAACTGTCCACCAACAAGAGTCAATTGTACCGTGTATAAATTTACAACTAAATTATATATAAAAAAGACCCATACCAAACCCCCCAAAAGATAAAGAAAAAAATAAAAAAAAAGAAAAATAGAGAAAAGGAAAGTCATGCTTGACTGGAACAGAGCTTGTTACAGAGCCAAAAAAGGAGCTCAAAGTCACAGGGAACATTCCACTGGCTACTGCGTATTCCACTAATGTTAGCCAAACCCTTGGTGCAGACAGGCAATGGGAAGAGCGAAGTCAGTTACTTTTAGGGTACAGAGCCCCAAAGGTTTGACTCACGAAAGTGGAAAGAGCTAAGTCCTGGGAAAGAGTGGTAGTGTTGAAGCGGACAAATTGGTGTCAGAATGAAGCAGGCAAGCGTTCTGGTGTTCCTGCTCCTGGGAAGCACAGTAAGGATCAAGACCCAGGGTCCTTGGCAGGAAGGTCTGAGAAGCTACTGGAAGCCCTCCAAAGCTTGGGCGGTTCTCCATGTCTTTTTTCTCTGCTAGCAGTTCACTGAGGAGAGGCTATGCCTGACAAAGGAAGACAACTTTGGGGGCAATCAGGCTTTACAGCAGCAGCTTTTAAGCATTTTAGCAAGAGCTGGTGGATTCTGCTTTTTATTTTCAAATAACAGGCAGGGAGCAAACATGTGGAGATGAAGAGCGCACAGGTCAGGCTGGAACTTGTCTGGGTTGCAAAAGACTGTGTGACCTTGTTGGAGTTACCTTCTGCAAGGCCCCTTTTCCTACTTTGGGACAAGGTTGTGGGAGGTCAGACCCATCTACCACTACTTGCATACATGGGAGCCATCCTTGGCTAATGTTCAGCATGAGTATATTATGGGCAAAGCCATGTTCACAGGAGAGATGCCCCTTTCTTTTTTCTTTTATTTTATGTGTATGTGTGTATTGCCTGCATGCAGGTAAGTATATCTGTGTCATGCACAGGTTAGAAGAGGCTGTTGGATCCCCTGGGACTGGAGTTACGGACAGTTGTTAGCTGCCATATGGGTTCTGGGATTTGAACCCGGGTCTTCTGCAAGAACAACCAGTGTTCTTAACCGCCAAGCCATCTCTCCAGCCCCGAGATGCCCCTTTCTTATATGGAATCAAAATAGTGGTGAGTGGTGTCTCCAGAAAGACACAATGTCCACCTTATTGTGGCAGAGAGCTTCTTGGGTAACTCAGAACATGGGAGGTAAAAAGATCATTATGGCTTTACCTGGTGGTACTCAGGACAGGAACCAGAGCCCCTCTCCTCTCATTCCAAGGGCTAGAACCTACTTCTGTGACTTTGGGTTTATAAAACATGGGAAGAAGGAAGCATTTATTTGCCTCCTGACTAGGTTTGAGGATTAGAATGTAAAAAAAAAAAAAAAAACAAAAAACAGAATAGGAGATGTTGGAGGGAATCCCTGGATGTGACACAGACATGAGAATGAGATTGAATGAATGAGCTTATGAGAGGAAGAGACAGCAGGGAGGGGAGGAAGTAAGACATTGGGGAGAGAACAACTTTTATGGGTACAGTGCTATCTGACCCTTGAACTATTGGTAAGCTCTCTTTCTTGTGTGTGGTATAAGGAAAAGGATGATAGAAAAGCAGACAACTTCCTTCTTGTTTACAATGAACTTCTCAGAGTGGTGGCATAAGTGCCCCCGTGCCCCTGCTCATGTACTCCAGTCATGTTTCTACGTGTTGAGTCCAAGGAAGATTACTTAGGTCCAGGTTCTTGGTGATGAAGACTTTAACAGTCAAGAGTTGTCCCCAGTGTACTTAATATTACCGAACACTTACTATACGTTTCAGATTCTTTTAGTAAAGAACTTTAATTTTAAAACCATTACCCACTATTCCCCTTAACCCTAGGCTGGTGTTTTTATTTTAGAGATGAAGAAAGAAGGTATAGGGTATGAAATACCTTGGCTTTGACGACATAGAGCTAGGCTCCTTGAATCTAGAGCTCCTGCTCTTAACTATCATCCTATGTATAAGCGCCTCCAGCCACCCATTTTCTTTCATGAGAAAGTGCAAGAATTAATTCTCACACACATTCCCACAGACCATTAAGAAACCCTGCCATCACATCATCTGCACCATTGTGATCAGCATTGTCCTTAGTGTCATAGCTAACTCTCTGCTTCAGGAGGGAGACAATGAGGCCCTCGTTCCCTATATTATTTTTGTTTTCTATGACGATAGCATAAGTTGTGCTTTGCTTAGAATTTGATACCTAGTTGAACTTTCCATTAAAAGGAATTGATTTGGAAATGGCCAATGGAGGGAAATGGTTGATAGCTGTGGAGTTTTGAATGAGAAATATCCCCCATATACTCATATATTTAAATACTTGGCCCCAGTTGGTGGTTCTGTTTGTGGAGATTTAGGAGTTGAGGCCTTGCTGGAGGAAGCATGGCTCTGTGTGTGCCTGTGTGAAGGCACGCTCTCAGCCTCCTGCTTCTTCTGTCTGCCTGTTTCTATGCCTCCCTCTCCATTAAGGACACTCTCTCTCTCTGGAATCATAAGCCCAAATAAACTTTATAAGTTGTCTTGGTCATGTGTTATATCACAGCAACAAAACGTAACTAATACTATGATGATAATGTTATAGAATGAATGATCTCAAATTCATGTTGAAAATTCTAAATGTGATGATATTTAGAGGTAGGACACTTAAGAGGTGATTAAGTCATGAAACTAGAATCCTTATTAATGATATCAATGCCCTTATAAAAGAGATCCTTGATTCACATGTGGCAATGCATGCCTTTAATCCTAGCATGGAGAAGGCAGAGGCAGGAAGATCTCTGTGAGTTCAAGGCCAGCCTGGTTTATATAACAAGTTATAGCCAGCAAGGGCTCCAAAGTAAGACACCATCTCAAACAAAACAAAACAAAACAAAACAAAGATCTTTGACTTTTCTGCCATGTGTGGATACAACCAGAACATGCCATCTATGAACCAGAAATTAGCCCTCAGCAGACACCAGTCTGCTGGCACCTTGATCTTACATGCCCCAGGCTCCAGAACTATGAAAAATAAATCTGTTATGTTATAAAAAATAAAGCTGCAGTTTATGTTATTCTGTTCAAATCAATTGAAATAATTAGAGAATACACCAAATTCTACACTCAACTATAATGGTTGGTAATTAGAAAGCCCACAAAGATTCTGAGGAGCCTTGCATCTCTACAATTATAAAAAAAAGGAATCAGTTGTTCTCACTGATCTATTTCTGTTCTTCTGCCATGTTGTGCCTCTGTGAGCTGAGTGACTGAATTTATGAGTACTGAGCCATCAGGACTAGCTCATAACCATATCCTTAGCTAAAAAGACAAGTAAAACCCCAGGTCAGGCCATAATAACCACCATGTTGACCACCACCATGATCAGGACCATCACAGCTACAATTACAATCACAGCTACCAAGAGTGTGATCATGACCACCCTACCATGACCACCACAACCACAACTACCACCATTACCACCACCTGCATGACCACGACCACCATCACCACCATACACAACCACCACTGCCACTTTGACAATGATGACTTGTCCTAGGTTTCTGTTTCTGTGATAAAACACTGACCAAAAGCAACTTTGGAAAGAAAGGGTTAATTTGACTTACACGTTCCAGTCCATCATCAAGGGAAGTCAAGGCAATGAACTCAAGGCAGGGGCTTGAAACAGAAAATATGGAGGAATGCTGCTTACTGGCTTGCTTCCCCTGTCTGCTCAGCTAGCTTTTTTATACAGCCCAGGTCCTCCTGCCCAGGAATGATATTGCTCACAGTGGACTGGGCCCTCTTACATCAATTATCAATTAAGAACACGTGTCACAGTTTATCTTGGAGAAAATCAAGAGCTGTCTAATTGGCCTTAGTGCCCACTCAATACGAGGAAATTCATGTGTGGTACTGTAAACATAGCCAAGTACACATGGCTGAGGAGGTCATAGACCCCGGAGAAGAACCTATCTCTGTCACTTTCCTAGATGGACGTAATTTCTTGCTATATTCTAAGTTATGTATCTTTATATTTACAGACAAGTGTACCTCTCATCACTCATCAAATAAGCTTTTTTTTTTTTTTTTTTTTTAACAAAACAAAACAAAACAACAACAATAAAACCCCTACTAACTCCAATTTGTGATGCCCATGTACTCCTGGGTGTGGGGAAATCTATCTATATGGTCAACCTAACAGGAGTCAGACCCTTAACGAAAACTGACAACTGGTCAAACATAGAGAATAAGTAATTGTGAGATGCCCAGCCCTAAGCGATACATCTGCAATGCAACCTCTACACCTAAGGTTCAGGGAACATTGTGGGAGAGGGGACAGAAAGAATGTAAGAGTCAGAGGGACAAGATACCTGCTGCTAGTTAATGCATTCTAGACACGATAGGGAAGCTACAGCAATGAAATCTCCATTGTGTGGTAATCTAACAAGATCTGCATAATGACAAAATGCGATGACATGCCAAGGTGGATGGGGAAAATTTCACTGGATCTCACCTCAAGTTGAAAAGCTACAGGCAATTGATGGATGCTGAGGGAGAATCAGTTTTCTCCAGAGACTAGCTCATTGAAAGGTGTTCTGAACCCAAGTGGGCAGCCCTGTACACAGGTACATATGAACAACACTAAATTAATTCAGTGTATTACATATATGTACATTTATAAATGTATGTGTGTATATATAACAATAATAATCAAAAAAAGAGGAGAGAAATTGAGAGGGAGTGGGGGACAATGGGAGGAGGTGGAGGGGGACTGGGAAGAGGGTAGAAGTAATGCAAGTACAATACTCATGTATGAAACTCTCATCAAATTAAATTTAAAAATACCTTCAAACTACTCATTAAAAAAAGGAAGTGCCTCACGGTCATTGTCACAGGCCAATCCAATGGAACCAATGAGCGTCCCTCTTTCCAGGTGTTTCTAGATTTTGTCAAGTTGACAAAAATTAACCAACACACTAGCATGGCCATAATCATGAACACAACCACCATGAACATGACCACCCCCTCCATGACTCCCCATGACCGGTTCCATGACTACCATCATCACCACTACCTTGACCTCCACCCCTACCACCAAAATAACTCTAAATGCATGCTCTACTCCTAAAAGATGGTGAATTTAAAATAAGAAGCAAGGCTTTAATAGAATGTAAAAAAAAAAAAAAAGAAAATAGAACGTAAACTTCAAGATCCAGAGACAAGGGTCTTATTGTCTATGCTCTCAAATCTAGAAGCTGTTCTGAGGTGAGAAATTTGATATTCTTCATAATGCTAGTTGGCTGCCCCAACTGTAAATCCCGCCACTGCCTCACCACCTCCCACTTCGGCCTGGTGGCTTTACTTCTCACTAAAATACATCATGTACTGCCATCGCCATACCTTTTGCTGAGGCTGTAGTCTTCATGTGGGAGAGTTTATACCGCTCTGTGAATGTGCCTATATGCACATGCACACACATGTACAGAAGCCCTAGAGTCTGGCGAGCTGACTATCTGGTGACAGTACATCTTTAAGAATGTAGCTTTATGATCTCTCTTACATCACAGTAAGCTCTTGGGTTCAGGATTGTCACTTTTGTTCTGTGTCCCACTGAGCCGCTGGATCACCTTCTTTGTTCTCTGTAAAAAACAACAATAATCCCTTTCACCATATGAAATCTACTAAATGTTTCTAAGAATTTGAAGATAAAATAATTAATATAATCAAATATGTTTGTGTAACTTGATCAATGAGCCAGATTTTTCTTCCTTTTGTTTCTAATTCGTGTATGTGCGTGTGTGTTTTTGAGAGAGAAATATACAATGTGGAATGCATATAAACACTTGATGCTTTCTCATGGCTTGAGTCAAAAGTACCTTGTGATGCTTACATTTTATTCTGTGAAGCATAGAGAATAGTCAGGGATGAGTGTCCACTAAGTGACACCTCTGGGAGGGACATGTTGCTAGGAAATGTGCAAGGTCACAGCAGGGCTATAAAGTTTGATTGTTCTGTACAGTACATTCTGTACTCTTCAAGAGGGAGTGAGATAGATGTTTGGTTCAATTTCATGTTAAAGATATTTTCCTCAGATCTGTACACTGAAGCATATGAACAGTATGTTTTTTTCATCACTCTCTTGCTCCATATGTTATCCATTATGGATTCAGAGGATTGAAAATGTCAAAGCCAGTGTAGGTCATCATAGTCCATGTGTAGATGATGAGTAACCTTTAGACCCCGCCCTCTTGAGGGCTTCCCTTCAGCTCACCCTGGCTGCTACTACACACATGTTGCTGTCAAGAATCCAGATCTAGTTTCTGGTGCTCCTAGATGAAATACTAGATCATCAAACTAGGTCTCTAGCTGGTCTCTGGGCTTTTCTACTAATTTCAGTTACTTATATAGAAGCAGCTTCTGTATAAGAGAAGCAGCTTCTCTTTTGTTTTTTATCAGAAAAACAAAAGAGAATTTTAAGTTCGAGAAAAATTATTTTCCATTATTGATCCCAGTGGGAGTCCCAACCTGCCTTTTAAGATACCCTAGAAATGTAGCTGGGAGCTTAGTGAAGATGAACTCATGAACGTAAAGGAAGAAAGAGGTCATGACATAAAGGATGAACTTCCAGAGGAAGTGATGCCAGCACATACACAAAAACCTTTATGTTAAAGGAACTCTTGGAGATATTTCACAATACTGAAAGTACAAAGGATAAAGTGTCAGGACTCAAGTTTAGAATGATAATTTGTCAAACCATAGAAAAAATATGCCCACTTCATAGTTATACTATGAGAAGGCAAACCCTGTTCAAACTACTATAAGTTTTTACAAAGAAATAAAAATTTCAAGTCTGTGTTTCCAGTTTTTAAATGACAAAAGACTAAACACATCCTCATTTTAGTTTTTTTCCATTTACCCACATATTTAAAACCAACACTCAGGGAATTTTTAATGTTTCAACAACTTTTTTAAGGCCATGGAATAATTGCAGCTTTTCCAATTGATTATTCAGGTTGTGCTATATGATCAGCTAGCACAATCTTTTTATGGCTTCATGTTGTCGTGCAAAGAAGGGACTTCCTCTATTTTAAAAAGACCAATGTACAACACCCATGCTGACTCAGTCAGACAAAAACGCAGCATAGAACTGGGGAACTGGGTAGTAGGCCCCAACCTTAGCAGTGGAACTACTGACAGCTGATTACTGTTGGGTAAGGGAGAGTTGATCTTCTTTAAGGGAGTGACTCTAGATAGGCTGACTAGACTTCAGTGGATGAATTTGCACTGAGGGACATCTGGGTACAAGAGCTTGACCAGATAAGCCTTAACATATATGACACAGAATCCATATGAAATCTGGTGGTGTTGGGGGCTATAGGAGTGTGGGTGAGAGAGGGGCTCTAAATATGATTAAGATTTATTGTATGAAATGCACAAAACTCAAAAATAGTCATTAAAAAAGAGTTCTTTAAAATATTCTTTCATATTCAGTTTTGATTTGTTCTGAGAGAGTCTAGCAGTCTGTCTTTGAATTTATGTATGTTATATATTAATATGTTGTATTCAGTATACTAAATATATATACATATAATGCTAAAAAAATAAAAAGAGCAACGATACTGATTGCCAGGAGAAACTTGTAGCAGGAAAATGACCAGTCTGAATATGTTGTCAATTCCATTCTGAGATGACATGTCTAGTGTCCAAACAGAGTGCTTTGCTTTCACCTTTCAGAATGCTTGTATTGCACAGGGCGGGAGAAACTTCCTATCTGCATCACTAATTTTAAGAAGTTGTACATAAACTTTGATTAGCAGACTGGTTTCAGCTCGTTTCCTAAAGACTTTTCCAGTTGTTCTTCTGACCTGTTAGCAGTGCTCACTTCATGAAGTACAGCTACATGTTCTGTCTTTTGAGTAGAAAATTTTTTGTGGGATTTGCCTTTCTAATTGTAGGGTATATCCTTGTGGACACTAGGTTGATGAAGGCTGTTGTAAGGGATATTTGTTCTTACCTGTTCATAGTCCATTCCCCAATGTGCTGGGACTCATCATCCACTTTGGGATAAGCATTCCTTCACAGTAAAGGGTATTGTTGTGAGTTTGTCGAGGCACCTAACACTTAGCCTTTCTGTCACGTTCTGGTGTTGAACAGAGTGGCCACTGTAGCTGATTTTACTCACTGATTCCATTCTCTGTCCCTAGAGCTGGTCACTTCCCAGTCATTCTGAGTCACATTCAATTTCTCCCTTTAATTTTTAAGCTAGTTTGTGTTCTAATAGATTTCTAATTTTTGCCCAAGTTATCTTAGATTTTATTTCTTTGATTGTTCAAGAAATATGATCTGTTATTGTTTGGTTCTTAAACTAGACCCAGTTAGCAAGTAAAGACAAACCTGAAAGTTTTCATGGAAAGAATAATTGTGTGATGTGTATCTAATTCTTAACTATTTAATGATTAAGAAAAAAATCAGAGGCAGCCAGGGGAGATGATTCAGTGTGTAAAAGCACTTGCTCTGAAAGGGTGAGGACCGTAGTTAATCCCTAGCACCCACATAAAAATCTGAGCATGGATGTACATGCCATCATTGGGGGTCAGAAACTGGCAGATCTGGGGAGCTTGTTGGCCATCCAGCCTAGCCAAAACAATGAGCTTACAGTTTACTGAGAGACATTATCTTGAGGGACTAAGGTGGAGAGTGATCAGAAGGCACTGGACTTTCTCCTCTGGCTTCCTTATGATCATGCATGGGCACATGCACCTACATACCCACATTGTGTGTACTACATACACATATCACACTCATATATACCACTTGTATACCACACGCACAAAGAAAAATTTAAAGAAAGAAAATATCAGAGGCACTTGACTCAATTCAACGTATTTCTCTCTCTCTTAATGGAGACTGTTGCTGGGGTCTAGTCCCCCCAAATAACTGGAGAGTCAAGTTTTTGTTCACTCAAGGTCTAAGGGAGATCAGAAGGAAATCTTCTGTCATTGGTCTTGCTTATCTCTTAAGTCATTTGTTGAACAGGAGGTACTATTCTAGGCATTTGGGAAAAACTAGTGAAGAAACCAGATGAATACTTCTGCCCTCTTTGAGTTCCCATTCTGGTAAGTAGAAATCTGAAGGGAACTTTTCTTGGCTATTGCTATTTTAATCTTGAGACTATTGGATTCAGCTCAAGTAAAATATAGATGAACTAGATCAAGTAAGATTTTACTTGAGATTTTGACTTACTGCCTCAAGTAGAAATCAAATCCAAAGCTTTCAGAAGTGTTAAATACTTTTCACATTTCTGGATTTTCCACTTATTTTTCCTTTTATCAGTCATGACCAAAATTGGAAGACAAACATGTCTGTCCTGGATGGACTTCGAATCTTACAAGAGATTCAACAGCGTCTGGTGCCTGGGGCTTGGCAATAGACCTTCCATACTCTTGTTGCTCAGTAAGTACCAGAGGATATTTGTGTCTGAAGCTGGGTTTCTCAAGAGAAGGCAGGTGGGATTCTGACCTGGGAAGATCTCTATTCTCGTTCCTCTGCTTCTGGGATGAAGGGAAAATGACCATGGAAATTAATACCCAGAAGGCATTTCCTGGATTAATCTCATATATTAAAGGAAAGGGTTGGGCTTTTTGGCATTCGATGCAAATTCTAGCCTCTCACTGCATTTGGCAAGTGAGCCAATACTGTTTAATGGAAAGTTGAATACAAACAACTTTGTTTTTTTTTTTTTTTTTGAAGCTGTCATACTCCGTTATGAATCTTTAAAAAGATATATAGTTTGAAAACAACTTTGCCTTGTTCATTGAATTTATGTTATTCACACGCTGTTCAGTAAAACCCATGAAACCTGATTCAAAGACATGACAGGAAGCCAGTGGGCTCTTAGAGTTTAGCTCTGGATTTGCAGTCATTGGCTTCAAGGCATTAGATCTGGCCTTTATCTAATATATGTTCTAAGAACCTACTTTGTCAAATGGATATAAAGAAAACCCTACCCTCCTCATAATATTCTTATCATGATCCCATTAAATAATACATAAGAAAATGCTCCAAGCTAGTGCCAATAAAATGCAAGATGTTATTTTTACTGTAGCTCAATACTGTTTGCTTTGTTCAAAGAAAGAAAACAGCATCTTTCCTTCTTCCTTCCCTCCCTCTTTCTCCCTCTTCCTTCCCCCATTTCTCTTTGTCTCTTTTACCTTTTCTTCTTTCTCTCTCTCCCCTCCGTTTATCCCTCCTTCCTTACCCCTTCCTTCTTTTCCCTCTCATTCTTCCCTCCTTCCCTACTTTCTCTCTCTCTCTGACTCTGTCTTTGTCTCTGTCTCTCTCTGTCTCTCTGTCTCTCTCTGTCTCTCTGTCTGTCTCTCTCTCTCTGTCTCTCTCTCTCTCTCTCTCTCTCTCTCTCTCTCTCTCTCTGTCTCTTAGAGAGGGTCACATAGAGAGTCTCATGTAGTGCACACTGGCCTTGAACTCACTATATAGTGCTGGTCTTGAAATTCTGATCCTTCATTTCCTAAGTACTAGCATTACAGGTGTGCACATGAACTCCCAGGAGCACATTTCTTTTTTAAAAAAGAAGCAATTTAAATCAGTAGTACAAAATTTCATGATGTTAGGGTGCCCAGGCAAGTCTATTGTGTAAATGAATTAGAATTCAATTTGGGTGAAGTTTGCTATAGAAATATCCCCAAATACCTCAGATTCTCTGGAGCAGACAGAAAACTGAGATTTTGTTTTTAGCTCGTAGGAACTCAGGCTATAAAATTGAAAACATAAGCATTAAATTTTCAGTTCATTTGGTGGAACTTTGGAAAATCTGTTTTCACACTGAAAATTAATCAAATATACTGGAATGTGTGTTTTTCTTTTCCTCCAATTTGTTCATTTGAGCTTTCTTTAGGAGACTGGCTACTGGAAAAAAAGGTTTTCTGGTGGATTTATTTAATCTAGATCATTAGATTGTTGCCAAGCTGAGCTAACCCTCTGGTTTTTAAGGCATGTTACTCTTCCACTTAAGTAGTTTTTCGTATTGGTTTGTAAGGGTTCCTTAGAACTTATCAGTATTTATTTATTTATTTATTTATTTATTTATTTATTTGTTATTATTTATCAATCTTTTATTTTGCATATATCTTTTCCAGTTTTAGTCAAATCTCTCTCTCTCTCAATTCTGGATCTGTGTCATACTTATGAAAACCTTTTCATTCACAAAAGAATATATATGCCTTTTCTTATTTGTACTTGGCTTTTATTTTTAAAAATATTTTCTTTATTATTTTTATTTTATGTGTATGAGTGTATTGCCTATATGTCTGTGAGTGCGCTCATGTCATGCAACGCCGCAGAGGTCCGAAGAGGGCTTCAGATTCCCCTGGAACTGGAGTTAAGGATGGTTTGTAGCCACCATGTGGGTGCTGGGAATCAAACCTGGGTCCTCTGCAAGAGCAGTCAGTGCTCTTAACCGCTGAGCCATCTCTCCAGCCTGGCTTTTATTGTTTTAACACTGATAATTTTGTCTGCTTAGCATAGATTCTGTGTAGAGTGTGTAGTTGTGCACTGGTTGCTGCTCTTGGGATTCCTGGGTTCCTTTAGCCTGTCTCAGACCCTCTCACTCCCCACCTCTGCTGTCATGCAGGCATTCATGCTGCCTGCCAGGCTCACACTTGAAGATCAAGTCTCCACTTTACCTCCAGAATAGGAAAGAATGTAACTGACATCTCCAGCAGTTGTAAGTTTGGCCAGTGGACATAACTGAGAAGTATGGGCAGGTACCCTCCATGGCGTGATGATGACTAACTGGAAACAGGAGACAGTGAGAAGGCCACAGCCTCACTCTGTGCACTCTTCCAAAGTGTTTGGAGGCACTGCTCTCACCAGTGTGTCTGTGGAGTCCGTCTGGCCTTGAGCAGCTACGTCTCCTCATAGAGTCCTAGGTTGGTAACCATCGCCTCGTGTTGTTCCATCTTTCTCACCACTCTTTCCTTCCATTTGTATTCCTGAAATTGCACAGTGTGAGGTGATTTCTGCCTCTGCCCCTTTACCATTCTTTCCTCCAGTCTCCTGCCTGAAGTGTTTGGACACCTTGGGTCATGAGGCTGAGGCCATGCACAGTGGAGCAATAACTTTAGACCTCTGGTTTCATGGAGAACCAGATCTGAATACGTTACACTAATTCATGGACAGACTTTTGTGCTCTTTGAGATAATGTTATTTTTGTCTTTCTGCCTTCATAGACAAGCTAAATATAAGCTAATGTGTTGAAGAAATGAAATGAAGACTGAAAGGCAGAAGGAGCTATGAATTCAAGTTTATCTTTACCAGTCATGTTCAGTAATTTGGGCACCTTTTAGAAACTTTCAGATTGATCTCATACAGTCCTTGTAGACTTTGGGCAAATTACCAGATAAAGCCAGTGGATCATAGACTCATAGAGTGATCCAGCCCTCACATAGCCCAGAGGCTTGGAAATCTTTATCCTGGACCTGAATTTAATTAGTGTCTCAAAGAATCCACACATTTTTAGATGAATTCTTGACAAAGGAGAATGAACAGAAAAAAGAGACTTTAGGATTCTCTGACTCGACATTCCAGAAAGCCCTGCTTAGAACCTGTGAGAAGTGCTGTTACACATTTCTATTGATAGAGGCATGTGCGTTTGGCTGCTGGATAATGGAAAGAACAAATACTGATGAGGATCATCTTGCTATTATAAAATCACCACTTTTTTTTTTTTTTTTTTTTTTTTTCAATACCTTGCTATATACCAAGGCTTAATCTCAAGTGAGTGTTCTTTCCCAGATGGTAAGTCAGCATGTGCTGGTAAGGCACATGAAATCTCTGACAGTGTGTGTGCTTTGCCTCCAGAAGGGAAGAAGGTACAGGTTCTAGGGTCAGAGATGGGTGGGGTTAGGCTTTCTATTTGGACCATGTGTTTATGTAGACTCATCAAAGGGCCTTTGTGTCCCATGAACCTCTAGATTTGGTTATGTAGAAAGTTCCAGGAAACCAGAGATAAATGAAATGCTTTCCTATTTACATAATGAAGTCGAAGTGAAGGCACTGGGGGCAGGGAAGAAAAAAGTGCTAAAGCTGCCTAGCTCTGAGCCTGCCGCAAAGTTCACTCAAAGATTACAGTTATTCAGGTTGTGGCTGGTATAGGGAAAAAGGCCAGGATCAGACACTGGATAAACTAGAGTGTCAAAATGAAACCACCCAAAACAAGCTGGGGCTGGAGGCTCAGACCTGCAGTTCTAGCTACCAGGGAAATTGAGGCAGGAAGCTTATAAGTACAAGGCCTCCCTGGGCTAACAATGTAGAGTGAATAATTCTGTTTAAAAAACAAGGCTAGGAGGTGGCTCAGCAGTAGATCACTTGCCTAGGGGGTGCTGGGCTAGATCCCTGGATGCCCAGCACTGAAATCCAGACCACCAGAAAGAAAGCAAAATGCTTGTTTGGTGGTTATTTTACTCAACTTCTTTTGAAAAACTGCTCGGGCTGAGAAGAAAGAAATCCTAATATATGCAGGGCAGGATCTATTACCTGGAGCATGGTGGGCTTCAGGGAGATACTGGCCAGCCCCGGCCCATCTCCACTCTGGTTTTACCCCAGGGTTCTAGGTTAAGCAATTGTTTCCGAAATATTCTATCTAAAAATAACTGTGAAGCCTGTCATGGTAGTTTTATCAATCTATTCTCACAGCGAGAAGAGGAACAAACTGGTGATATCTGGGCCTGTAGGAGTTGAACTTCTTATTAAGATAGTTTTGCACTCAATATTTCATTGAGAAAACGTAATTTCAAACCAAACCCCTATCCCTACATTTATTAATTTACATTTATAGTGATGGACTTTAAGGATAATGAACATGAGGGGGTCACTTCTTTTTTTTTTTATCAACAATTGCCTAATTTATTTATTTTAAAATATTTGACTTATTATTATTTTTTTAAAGGTGGCTGTAAATTTTTAGGTTCACAGTTGAATTAATACAGTCATACAATAATGAACTCAGTAAAAGCCCTGCAGGACATAAAATTGGATGAGTTTTTACCCTTTAAAGAAGATCTCCACTTCATTTTAAGATATGTTGTTTCCTACATTTTTTTTCAATAAAATATTTTTTTTTCAATTAGAAGAAGCATTTCATTACAACAGCATTAACCTATTCAATAACATTTTTCTGAGCTAGGGTACATCTCTTTCAAAATTGGCTGTACATTTTTAGGTTTACAGATGAATTATTACGCTTATATAACTTCTTTTTTACTTACAGAGTTCAGGGTCAGAACTGCAGAAATCATTTAAGAAACAGAAGCTGAGAAAGTTGTTTTGGTGTTTATGTAAAGGGAGGTCTTAGCTTGAGCTTATGCCATGTTTACTCCTTGGAGACAGGTCATGATTCTGTGTGTAGTACAACCTGCAAAAATGTATTTGTACAAATG